CTATCTCAAAAAGCAAGAAAGATCCCAAACGCAGAACCTAACCTCACACCGAAAGGAACTAGAAACAGAGCAGCAAAGAAAGCCCAAAGCCAGCAGAAGAAGAGAAATAATAAAGATTAGAACAGAAATAAACAAAACAGAATCCAAAAAAAAAAAAAAAAAAAAAAAAAAAAAAAAAAAAAAAAAAAAAATAGAACAGATCCATGAATCTAAGAGCTGGTTTTTTGAAAGAATAAACAAAATCGATAAACCCCTAGCCAGACTTCTAAGAAGAAAGAGAACCCAAATAGATAGAATCACGAATGAAAAGAGGAGAGATCACAACGAACACCACAAGAATACAAACAATTATGAGAGAATACTATGAAAAATTGTATGCCCACAAACTGGACAATCTGGAAGACATGGACAAATTCCTAGATACCCACACACTACCAAAACTCAAGTGGGAAGAAATAGGAAATTTGAACAGACCCCATAACCAGTGAAGAAATTGAAACGGTTATCAAAAATCTCCCAACGAATAAGAGCCCTGGCCCAAATGGCTTCCAAGGGGAATTCTACCAGACATTTAAAGCAGAGTTCATACCTATTCTTCTCAAGCTGTTCCAGAAAAATAGACACGGAAGGAAAGCTCCCAGACTCATTCTATGAAGCCAACATTATCTTGATTCCCAAACCAGACAAAAATCCCAGTAAAAAGGAGAATTACAGGCCAATATCCCTGATGAACATGGATGCAAAAATTCTCAATAAGATACTAGTAAATCAAATTCAACAGTATAGTAAAAGAATTATTCACCATGATCAAGTAGGGTTCATTCTTGATCTGCAGGGCTGACTTAATATTCACAAATCAATGTGATACATCGCATTAATAGAAGAAAGGATAAGAATCATATGATCCTGTCAATAGATGCAGAAAAAGCATTTGACAAAATACAGCATCCTGTCTTAATAAAAACCCTCAAGAAAGTTGAGACAGAAGGAACATACCTTAACATCATAAAAGACATATATGAAAGGCCCACAGCTAATATCATCCTCAATGGGGAAAAACTGAGAGCTTTCCCCCCTGAGATCAGGAACACGACACGGATTTCCACTCTCACCACAGTGTTGGAAGTCCTAGCCTCAGCATCAAATAACAAAGTGAAATAAAGGCATAGAAATTGGCAAAGAAGAAGTCAAACTTTCACTTTTCACAGACAACATGATACTCTACATGGAAAACCCAAAAGACTCCACCAAAAATCTGCTACAACTGATACATGAATTCAGCAAAGTTGCAGGATATTAAGTCAATGTATAGAAATCAGCTGCATTTCTATACACAATAAAGCAACAGAAAGAGATATCAAGGAATCAATCCCCCTTACAATTGTACCAAGAACCATAAAATACCTAAAAATAAACCTAACCAAAGAGGTAAAAGATCTGTATGCTGAAAACAATAGAAAGCTTATGAAAGAAACTGAAGAAGACAAAGAAATGGAAAAACATTCCATGCTCAGGGACTGGAAGAATAAATACTGTAAAAATGTCAATACTACCCAAAGCAATCTACACATTCAGTACAATCCCTCTCAAAATAACACCAGAATTCTTCAGAGAGCTAGAACAAACAGTCCTAAAATTTGTATGGAACCAGAAAAGATCCCGAATAGCCCAAGTAATATTGAAAAAGAAAACCAAAGCTGGAGGCATCACAATCCCAGACGTTAGCCTCTACTACAAGGCTGTAATCATCAAGACAGTATGGTATTGGCACAAATACCATACACCGTAGACCCATGGTAGACCCATAAATCAGTGAAATAGAGAACCCAGAAATGGACCCACACATGTATGGCCAACTAACCTTCGACAAAGCAGGAAACAGTATCCAATGGAATAAAGACAGTCTCTTTAGCAAATGGTGCTGGGAGAACTGGACAGCAACATGCAGAAGAATGAATCTGGACCACTTTCTTACACCATACACAAAAATAAACTCAAAATGGATAAAAGACCTAAATGTAAGACAGGAAACCATCAAAACCCTAGAGGAGAAAACAAGCAACAACCTCTTTAACCTCAGCCACAGCAACTTCTTACTTGACACATCTCTGAAGGCAAGAGAAATAAAAGCAAAAATGAACTACTGGGACCTGATCAAGATAAAAATCTTCTGCACAGCAAAGTAAACAATCAACAAAGCTAAAAGGCAACTGACAGAATGGGAGAAGATATTCGCAAATGACATATCAAAAATCTATAAAGAACTTACCAAACTCAACACCCGAAAAACAATCCAGTGAAGAAATGGACAGAAGACATGAATAATCACTTTTCCAAGGAACACATCCACATGGCCAACAGACACATGAAAAGAGGCTCAACATCACTCATCATCAGGAAAATACAAATCAAAACCACACTGAGATACTACCTCACACCGGTCAGTGGCTAAAATTAACGACTCAGGAAACAACAGATGCTGGCGAGGATGTGGAGAAAGGGGAATCCTCATGCACTGTTACTGGAAAACAGTATGGAGGTTTCTCAAAAAATTAAACATAGAACTATCCTACAACCCAGCAATTGCACTAGTAGGTATTCATCCAAAAGATACAAAAATGCTGATTTGTAGGAGCACATGTACCCCAACGTTTATAGCAGCACTATCAACAACAGCCAAATTATGGGAAGAGCTCAAATGTCCATCAACTGATGGATGGATAAAGAAGATGTGATACACACACACACACACACACACATACACACACACACACACACACACACACACACACACACACACACACACACAGGACTACTACTCAGCAATGAGAAAGAATGAAATCTTGCCATTTTCAACAATATGGATGGAAATGGAGGGTATTATGCTAAGTGAAATAAGTCAGAAAAAGACAGCACGTTTTCACGCATATGTGAAAATTGAGAAACTTAACATGGGGGAAGGGAAGGAAAAATAAGTTATAAACAGAGAGGGAGGCAAACGATAAGAGGCTCTTAAATGCAGAGAACAAACTGAGGGTTGATGGGGGGGAGACTGTGGGGGGCAAGGAAAATAGGAGATGGGCACTGAGGAGGACACCTGTTGGGATGAGCACTGGATGTTGTACGTAAGTGATGATTCACAGGAATCTACTCCTGAAGCCAAAACTACACTGTATGTTAGCTAACTTGACAATAAATTATTTAAAAAAAAACCAAAAAACAAAAAACCTGAGACAAGGAAAAAAAAAAGAAATAATAAAATGAAATGAAATACTTCAGCAAAGGACAAAAATAGATGAATCTGTGGCAAGATACGATTATTGTTGAACTTAAGTTATGAGTATATGGAGGTTCACTGCACTATTGTGTGTGTGTGTACATTTTCATAATCATAAAAAAGTTAAATGCAGATTACCTAGTAACATTAAATATAAGTAGCAATAAAAATAAATAAAAGAAAAAAGAAAACGAGTCATGTGCTCTTATAACTGAGCCTGCCAGGTGCCCCTACAACTGGGCTTTTAAACAAAAGCTTTATTAGTTTAATAAGTTCATTCCTCCCTTGAGTTTTAGCATTTGCATGGCCTTTTTATAAAGAAATCCACATTCGGATTCATGACCTACAACAGAAGCAAATCACATTCAAGGAACAATCACTGAGGACTTAGCTCCACACTAAGTACCAGGATGAAATGAGGCCCAAGCCCCCCCTTAAAGGAACTCCTGTTTAGTAAGAGGAGACAAACATGGGGAACAAAGTGCACCGAAGCGCACGCCGACACCAGGGTGCAGGCAGCTTGCCAAGAGGGTGTGATCAGCCCTGGCCGGGCAGGTATCGTGAAAAGGCATCTGCCAGAAAGATGGCTGAAGGCTGTTCTGGGTGTGGGCGTGGAAGGGCCGTACCTATGGAACAGCAGGCTTCATCCAGGGATTATGGTCTGGTAGAGCTGCGATGTTTGGGGAAAACCACTGGGGGAGGAAAGACCTGGCAACAAAACTGAACGGTCCCAGGGAAGGACTCAGAGTGCGTGCCGGAGAGCTCAGACTTCGTCCGCTGGGCCCCGGGAAGGCACGGTGGGATACGAAGCTCAAAGACAAGCTCATATTCATCTTTTACTAAGCTCACAGTGGCAAGAGTAAGAAGGATGAACTCAAAGAGTGCGAGACCAGAGCCGCAGGGAACTCAGAAGTGTGACAATCATGCATGTGAACAGAACAGCCTGGGCGGGGAGTATGGAGAGACACGGGAACGCACGGAACCGTGTTAAGCAATCACAATGGCCAAGTGCCCTTGACGCACAAAGTTGGGGTGAAACCTGGACGGGGAGAGAAGAAGGGGAAAGGACAAGTTTCTGGTCCAGGCAAGTTGAGTCGAAATGAAGAAAATCTTGTGAAGAACCAGGGAATCATCCTGTTTCTATATAAAATATTTTTTTTAAAGAAGGACTCTAGCCAGGAATTAGGAAGAACTGAAAACAAGGACTTTGAGAACACCCTGTTGTTACTTAAGGAGGCTCAGGTTTGGGGGCTGTTTTAAGGGAAAATTGTCTGCGATGACTAAAACACCTTCGGTGCACAGCACGGGGATGGATTATATGACCTGTTCCCTCCAAAGTCAACCCTAACGTAATTAAAAACTATACTATTAAACCTACTTCATCTTGACACCATTCCTGAAGGAGGACATGAAATACAGGGTTCGCCAAGCACCTGCACTTACTTTTGTGCATGTGGCGAGCACACAGAACAGTGGGGCAGGGACTATCACTTGTTGAAACACTGATGCGGTATTTACTTTCAGCCATGTTTGTTTATTCCGGGACAACAGGCACAAGACAGCTATTCATCCAAAAAGTTATTCATCTTTCCTGTTTTTAAAGACAAAATGTATTCAGATATCTCTTCTGTCTTCCAAGCTGCTAATCTGAACCTTCCAGAGGCTGACGACTACTCTGGATTAGGATACATGCCGCCTGTGACCCCCAGCTCTCCTCACTTACTTCAGAATTCCAATCTTCAGCTGTAGCCCGTGCAGGACTTCCGTGACTCCACAGACATCAGCAAGCAGGTGGTGTGTGGAAACTATCTTTTTGGCATTGAGATGAGAATAATTTTCCTTCAAAAATGATAACCCGCACATTCTCCCGTTATCCAACCAATCCTTATCATAGCGGTATTTTGCGCTCCACCTCTGACCTGCAGATGAAGGGGACATTCAAATGACAAAGGATCCCACTTACTCAGATTCCCCTTCCACTGTCACCCCACTGACATCATTCAGAAAGCAAGGGGAGCTCTAGTACTAAGAGCAAATTCGAAAGAGCAAGACAGTGTTCTGAGGCGCTGGCGCTGTGATGCTCCCCCGCACTTTCAGATTTTCCGCCCGCTAAGAACACGGTCCGTTAGGGATGTGGTCAGGGGCTGAGGACACCTGCAAAGAACCCTGAGTGTACTGCCTCCCATTTTTTACATATCTGTCATCTGTCTTCTAGAAAGGTCGAGAGGGCTGGAGAGAAACTAGATGGGGTGCCTGTTTCTCACTCACATTTGTTTTGAACTGGATGAAATACAGAGACTTGCTTAAGTGGATGTTTGGACCCCTTTCCAAGATCTCACAGGGCCCTGCAGAATCTTGTATTTTCACCATCGATACTAACTGTATCCTATTAAGCTAGTTGCTTATGTGTCTGTGACCCCCGCTGTACTATGAGACAGTGGAAGGCTTGCTTAGATTCAATCCTCTTACCTCTTACCAGCATTTGGCAAAGAGAAGGCATCCAATAAATGCTGCTGAATGAGTAAACTGATGTCTACATTCATATAGCTCTGAATCATTCTCCAGCTTCTTAATGTTACTTTTGTTTTTGTTTTTGTTTTAAAGATAGACGAGAAAATTCGGTAGGCTTTTATTTGAGAATACCTAGTTATTTTCTGCCTGGGCAGCTGAATGTGTACATAATATGCAAAACCTTGCTACTCAAAGAGCCTCTAGATGGAAGAAGGTGCTGGAGAGGGAGGCGAAGGGCACCGGTTTCCATCTCGGGTCTGTGCACACGGCACGCAGCCAACCCTCTGAGCCCCGGCTGCCTCCTTGGCAAGATAAAGGGACCCAACAGGAGAGCCTGAGATCCCATCTACCCAAAATTAGTTGGATACACAGCATGTTCAGGAACTTTCCTCAAGCCACGTCATGAGGAGTGCACACTCGAATACAGTTCCACTCAAAGAGTCACACAGGAACCTATCTAGAAATCAATACACAGGGACACACGAAGGGGTGAATTCTTCTCCCAGAGAAAGTCCTAACTCTGCCCCGAAAGGCGGTGGGAAATGAGGCGAATGTTTTGGCCTAGGTCATTAACATGGAAAATAAAACTGTAACAGAGAGCGAAAAATATTTAAAGACGCCGACGCGGAAGCAGAGTGCAACCGGCCCGGCCAAGTAGCGGTGTCTCCTGCAGCCGGCACACCACCGGCTGGGACCCAGATCTTCGGGCGTCCAGCCCCCCACACGGGGCTCAGGCTTACCGGGAGGGTCCCTGCAGATGTAGCAGACGTACTGCTCGGGGATGCTCTCCTCCAGGAGCCCCATGCACACGCTGTGCTGCCAGCACAGACACTCTTCGCACTGCGAGAAAACACAGGGGCGCCTGCGGTCACTGGGCTGCTCCCCAGCGAGGAAGCCACGCCCCCTCCCCGCCGTGAGGCTCTTGGCCCCCCCCCCCCTGCACTGCGAGTCTCGTCCACGCGACGAGGCGGACGCGGATTCAGGATGCATTTTCTTTCTGAAACACTCAAATGCTTCACGAACTTCCCCCTGCCACAGCTATTACCTTGACAAGCTATGTACCTTGACATATTACTTAAACCACACACACAATCATAAAACTAGTTCTCTCATTTATTTCCCACTAATTTTTAGGCAATTACATCCTTAAAACTCTTAAAAACAGCCTATTAGAGGGGCGCCTGGGTGGCGCAGTCGGTTGGGCGTCCGGCTTCAGCCAGGTCACGATCTCGCGGTCCGTGAGTTCGAGCCCCGCGTCAGGCTCTGGGCTGATGGCTCAGAGCTTGGAGCCTGTTTCCGATTCTGTGTCTCCCTCTCTCTCTGCCCCTCCCCCGTTCATGCTCTGTCTCTCTCTTGTCCCAAAAATAAATAAACGTTGAAAAAAAAATTAAAAAAAAAAAATAGCCTATTAGAGTGCACTTTTTTTAAAAGGCAAGTTCATAGGAGTGCCTGTAGCAGTGACTTCAACCGGTATGGTGATGCTATAAATTTGTAGTTCCCTTATTTGAGAAAACCTTTGAAAAGGGGTAGAAAAAAGATTACTCTTTCTTCATTCCTATGACCATCATTTCCAAATCTTCTAAATGTCATCACAGAACATGGGGTTATGCTTCTCCCTGTTCCTAGAAAGATACCCTTTCTACAGGGAGACACCAGTGGTTGGTAACGCTTCATCCTCGCAACAAACTTTGAGAAGAGTGGACACGTTTATTTCCAGATCTGCAGGTTGAGGGGCTGGGAAGGTGACGACACAATGTTATTAAACAGGGACCCGGGCCAGGAAGAGAAGGGCTGCTACGCTCTACCCTTCAACGCGGATGCTCGCCATCTTAATGGCTTCAAAGACTGGCTTCCAGAATTTCAGCCTGAAGACCTCAAACTCAACACTAGCTCTCTCAGGTGAGACAGCCGTCTACTCCTTTGATGAAGAGATTTCCCCACCAGTACTACTGGGACTTGAAACGCTGTGATAAGTTGAAAACCTCTGTCTTCAACAGGACAGTTAGTGACAAACACGGAAGCCCTGGTTGTACTTGCTGAGCACCTGAAGGTAATGGCTCCGGAGGGCAGGGAAGACGGGTTACCTGGATCATGAAGCCGTTCTCCTCATCCATTTCACAGATACATCGCACGATCTCATTAAGAGCATCATCTTCATCCTGAGATTCCTCAAAATTGGTGGAATCGAAGTCCTGATTGTACTCATCCCCACTTAGAAGTAAACTCTCTGTTGAAGAATCGTCTAGGAATTCCACATCCGATAAGTCTAGAACATACACAAAAGTATACTCAGCAAGTATTTTTCCAGGTTTGTGTCACTTTTCCAGATAGAAAGGAGCTAAAGGAAGTGACTGTAAGCTATTAAATATTTAGAAGGGAAGGGCAGACAAATGAGAATAGAGCACTTGTCCCTAAACAAAGAAACAAAGGATTTTTGAGGCCAAGGTAATTATGACTGACTTTGCGTCTTCTCATATACACTATTACAAGTAACTTGCAGAGGATCCCCTAGCCTTGGTGCTTATAGAGTTTATGGCCAAGGTTGATATTGGTAACTTAAATACGCATAGTTCTCAAACGCTCTCACAAACGTTAGTCCTTTTGATCCTCCCAAGAACCACGGGTTATAAAGAGAACGGGTTTCGTTATCTGTACCACAGACATGGGCATTTCAGTGAAGGGAAGGAGACTGCCTGGAGTCCGATATCAATGCTACTATTCTTAACAGGATCAGGATCATCAACCACCACTGCACTTAATATGCACCAGATACTCTACCAAACACTCCAAACACAAGATCTATTACTTGCTCGAGGAGTGTAGCCAGCTAATGGTGAAGCCGACTGCATACCAGGACTACCTGACTCCAAAGCCTGCGTTCTTAACGACTTCACCAGTATTTCTTAAGGTGGGATCTTGAGTTCCCTAAGGAATTTGCAAAGTTTTAAAATTTCACTTTGATAAAAATCTTTTAAAGTATATTCTAGAAACTAGATTATATAGAGGACCACTACATAGAATTTGACTCAAACGCCCAGTTTTAGGTTTGTATTTGTGCCAGCATTGATGTCAAAGACCACAATTTTGCTCAGGCTATTGAGAAAAAACAAAAACAATTGAGGCACACACAAGGAAATATTTATAACCAAGGGGAAAAAATGAGGACGGACACTAGAGATCTTGCAGGAGTGTGGATGGAGATATAAGGGAGCTGAGTCATCGCGAGTTGTGCAGTGGAACACCTGACCGCTGCTGCGGGGCACCTGGGGGCTAATCAGCTGAGCACTGCAGCGACAGGTAGTTCCTTGTGCCCCAGTGTCCCAGCCTCTGGTCTCGGTCTGCCCGCTGCTTCCCCTGCCCACTGCTCACCTCCTTCTGGGCGGCATCAACAGGCTGGGAGAGCAAGGGCTTTGCACTACTGAGTGCTCCACATCTAGTTCTTACAGTGGAGCCTGGTCTATACCGGTAAAGCCACTCCAGCTTCTGGAGGAGCAAAGGGGGGGGGGGGGGGG